GTCGTTGCCATTCGCTGTCGCTGTTTTAACCAATTAAAAAAACATAACGCAAGACAAGTCAAAGTTCAATACTGATTTGTGTGTACGTGTGTCAATCTATCTCAGAGTTGGGGCTGTTGCTTAGCTAGCCCAGATTATCATACTAACAGAACCTGCTGCGTAACGACAGGTAGGCTAGCCGTCTTACTGAAAAGGAAGTCATCATTTTCCAAAGAGCTCCAGGAGAGTTACAACTTCCTTTCGAAAAGCGCCAGGCAATGAATATAGCCTACTGCGTTTTGCACACACTTCAGGTGTCCTTTTTCCATCGCCTACATTGGAAATGCAGACATACAAAGCCATATTAAAATGAGAAAACACCACTGGTTGATACAGCCTGGAAGTAGCGCTGTGTATGTCTATTTTAGTGAGGCAAATGATGGGGACAACAAACTGAATCGGGCTGCTCAGGATGGCACCTTTACCTGCCACCTTGTGTGATCAGTGCAGGTCACCAATCCGTGGATCGATACATGTCGGTTTTAAGTGTCCCGATTTGGAGGTTTGTAAATATAATCAAGCTACCTAAACACTGTCTGTCAGGATCATGGTCAGGATGGCGTGTTCATTCATAAACTAGTCAGGAAAACTTGAAATCCATATTTAAAAGAGCTTTTTAGTTGTGATGAAGTCTGCTGTCTGTCGTTTCGAGCAGCTGTAATACAATGTGACACACTTGAATGAACCTGGAAGAAGGAAAAGTGCTGTACAGTAAACTCACAAACAGGTGAGATAGTGAAGCTAGACAGACGGAGGCAGAGTGATGCAAAGTAGTGAATGTGTGGGATTACAAACGATGATCTAACATTTTTCAGAGTGGCACTTTGAGAGATTGCCCTGGAAAAACCCTGCAGCAGTCCTCTCTCTCTCACACACACACACACACACACACACACACACACACACACACACACACACACACACACACACACACACACACACACACACACACACACACACACACACACACACACTTTCTCTATGTTTAAAGCCTCAGCCATCATCTCACATTCAGACGGTCGACATTCAGTGAGGTTATTGTGCGTTTGGTGATACTGAGAATTTCTATTGCTAGAAATGATCAAACTAAAGGCATACTGAGAAAAAAGATTAACTGCTGTGAAGATTCTTTTCTTTTTTCAAATCCATAATGGTTCTTAAATGATGTTTTGGTGCTAACACAGACACATGCGCACACACACATGTATATCCAAAGACTCACTGATTCCCTCTCTTCTCTCCTCACTCTTCATCATCATGCTATCCCTGCGTGTTTCACTCGGCAGGAGACAGAGAGGCTCATTGTTATTCCACGAGGGTCGGCTGATCTCAGCCAAATCTGTCTGTGCCTCGCTCCTCATTCCACATCATTCCTGCATTGTTTGGCTCCCAGGAATCACAAAATCCTTCATCTCAGGGATCTACTGGAAATGTGGGAAATCTGTGAGAGAAGCCCTCTCCCCAGGGGATTCCTAACGCCTGAAAGTCTGAAGAGGGAAAGCTGAGCAAAGATGGAGAGGGAGACAGATAGAGGAAGGCTTTACTCTGCTCTAAAATTCCTGAGGGCTACAAAGCCAAAGCTGATCTAATATTGAGCGAAAATGCCCCGGCCGAGCTGGGTTTTTGGGGGTTTGTGCTGGGTTATTTTATGTCACTGGAGGCGGACTGAACACAGTAGCTGGCTATCTCCTTGAAGGAAGCATGTGTCTCTCCTTGAACGACCGGAGCTCATCAATAAGTGATGTCCTGTCTCTTCCAGTCTATCACACGGAGGGAAGAGCTGCCTTGATTTGTTTCTGAAGACAGTACTCAAGACACAATGCTGCCTCTATTCTCGCTCGCTTCTCAGATGACATCTATTGCTTTCTTAAACTTGATACTTTTATAGGTTTTTTCAGTCTGCTGGTTGCGCTCACAGAGACTTTTGGAGTCGCTCTTTAAGAAACAGTTCAGGTTTCAGAAGTGGGGCGTTAAGAAAAAAAGAAAATATGGATGCAGACACTGATAGCACCGTGAACTGCATTAACCTGACACCGCTATCTGTTCTGACTCGAGGTTCAAATCGCAAAGCATTTTTATTCCAGGGGAAAATATCTCCAAACCACCGCAACAAGTGGAAAAAGTGTGCCCTTACGTGCGGGTCAATTTAACCTGTGAAATAGTAAAACACTATTTTCAGAACATACTGTATTTACAGACAGTTCTATTTCTTAGATTACACAAAAGTAGGGCTGTTGTCATGATCGGTGTAAACGCTTACACCACAAACTCTCCATGGCTTGAGGTGATTGAGCCCCAAATGCCTGGATTATAGCTCATTTTATTACATGCCAGAATCCGTGCATTGGAGTTGTATTTGTACTACTCCAAAGCTAAGTGCATTTAACCTGTATGAGTGTCCTTTGAGGATTAGACAGGCTGAGTAACAAATATCTTCAAACCTCCACATCTGGACACTTGATTTTTTTATCGCTAAGTACCTATTTATCGATCCACAATTCGCTGATCTGCACTGGTCACACAAGGTGGCAGGTAAAGGTGTCTTCCTGAGCAGCCTGTTTAAGTTGTTTGTCACCGTCGTTTGTCTCACTGAAGTAGATCGTAACAGTGATACTTCCAGACTGTACCCACTGTTTGTGTTTGCTTATTTTAATATGGCTTTGTATGTCTGGGCGACTGAAAATGGACTCCTGCAGTGTGTCCAAATCACAGCATATTCATTGCCTGGTACTTTTTTAAGGAAGTGGTAACTCTCCGGGAGCTCTTCGGGAAAAAGCTGACTTCCTTTTTGGCATGACATCTAGCCTACCTGCCGTTACGCAGCACAGCAGGTCCTGTTTGTGTGATAAGCTAGGCTAGCTAAGCAACAGCCAAAACCCTGAGATAGATTGACACATGTGCAGCCAAATCAGTATTGAACTTTGACTCGTAGTGCATTAGTGATGTTTTTCTATTAGTTAAAACAGAAACAGCCTTGGCAACGACATTTGCTGACAAATCATTTTTTCCAGGAACCAAACCGACCCAAAAACAAACAAGACCATCAGCAACAAGAATGATTTTGTCTTCATTGTCATTGTATGCCTGACTCTTGTTTTACACTTTCCAAGAAAAAGGAAGACATTTTTTTTTGGTTTGATACAAGTGAAGGCCACGTGTTGCAAAAATCAACACCAACCTTGAGTTCCTGACCGTCGCTTAAAAATGACTTGAAAACATAAATTTGGGTATACCCTTTTCATATAATTTCACTGCTTGTCAATTCTGACACAACATTTGCACAACTTTTTTCTTTTTTTTGACTCTACTAACTGTACAACATTCAAACTCATACAGTACACACATATTAGGTAATACACTGTCTATCAATAAACGCCTTATACAACCCCACTCCAAAATATCCAAACTATCCCCTTGAATTCCTGACACCACTGCAATCGCCCCATTGCCCTCTCTGTCCTGTGACTCTGGCTCGATACATTCCAGCAGTCAGCGGACATCCCAGAGCGGTTATATGGGCTTTTTTTTTTTTTTTTGGCCGCACTGACACCTAATCCCATTTCACAGTACCATGCAGCCGAGCCAAAATAATCACTTGATGGGAGTTGAAAGTGATTACCACTGTTCACTCTTATCTCCAATGAGTGCAGAGAATATTGTCCAACAGCAACAACAACTGCTCGCCTCTGTGATGCCGGGCCAAGTGAGGAGCAGACGAGGGGGGGATATACAACCACACAGGGGAAGAAGAAAAAAAAAAGGTTTTGTGTGGGGTGCGTGTGTTTGTGTGCGTGTCACATACAAAAGATGCATGCGCTGTAAGTCAATTCGCATGGATAAGTAATTAGAACAGTGGTCCCTCCCCTTACACACAGCCTACATATTTAACAACCCCGACTCGAGACAGACTCCTCGTGAATGTTTGGGTCCTGCCACATTGGGTTGAGGGGATAAGGCATTATCATCTGGTCTGAATCCAGATAAAATAACAAACATTTATCATTTAACATAAATTAACGCGCTTGGTTTGAAAGAGTTTTAATGCTCATCCACAAACTGTACAGACAAATACAGCTAGCTGCTCAATGCTAATTTCTGGACAGAACAAAGGCAAACATTTGTTTTTGCATTATCCTGATAAACTGAATTCAGTTAAACTCTAAGAAAAGCTTAATACTAATAAGTTGTGTATCAAAATATGTCAGGCCCCTGAACCAGCCTTGAATGTGGCATGGTGTATTGCACCAATGCACCAATCCAATACCATCATTTTAAAATCCTTCCTAAAAATCTACTTAATTTCTCAGAAACAGTTGCAGTTAAAATAAATTACACATTATATTATATTATATTAGCGGCTGTTTCAGGGTCGTGGACAACAATAGTGCAGTGTTGGACAAGTATTTAATCTCATACAACAAAACTAGCTAAATATGAGCTATCAGTAATTTCAATCACAATCAAAGCTGTATTTTTGTGTAAATTTAAATTCACGCCAATCAAAAGGGGTAAAGAGAAAAACTAAAGCAGTCTCAAGATGGCATTAGCCGAGCTATTGCTCACATGAATTAACTTTGTTCCAGGCTCTCAGCTGGTTTCTCGGTTCCCACAGTGTAATGAGCTACAGGCCATACAACAATGATTGCAAGAATATCCTTACAAACGTTTCAGTATAGCTCACACACTAGTAATTATTTTAATATCTGTTTTAATGTTCTTGTGTTATTAAGGTAGGACAACTGGGTATCAATCAATTCAGAACTCAAGATTTTAGAAAAGGAGGAAAAAAACGTTTTCTGAACACCTTTACCTAGTACACATTTAAAACCACCTGCCTTGTAATGCCCTCCATCACAGGGGCTTGAACCCATTGGCTTGTAGCTGAGAGTCTCTCTACTCTACATGACCCCAACGCTCTAGTTTGTCCTGACAACAGCAGCAAAACGAGGACATCTTCTTACCTGATTGTCAGACATGACATAAAGAGAGTTCCTGTCCAGGGAGAAGGCCATGTCCCTGAGGATGGGGCTGCTATCCTTCATCACGGTCACTGTCTCGTACAGCACCCCTCCCTCCAGAGGACCGTCCACTCTGATCTGCGGAGACACGGACAAATACAGAGACGAATAGACAGTGAATGCCTCGCTGCAGGACATGCTCTCTGAATGGTTACTTTACAATTGTAGAGTGACATCTGTTGTTGTGCATCTGTCCCTCCAGAACTCTGATGTTCTCAGAAAATATTCATTCAAATCAAATTGAATCAAATCAACATGTATTTCCATTTTGGTTGTGCGGAGCAGAATGAGTATCTATCTAGCGACTCTCTTACAACCGATGTACATATGATATATATCAACAATGTTATAAAACACCATATTAAACACAATACAGTACCTGAGCCCAAAACAGCTTAAAACAGGATAGGTAAAACTGTTGAGCTTTACAAGAAACTTCACTTTGAGTTTGGGCTACCATCCATTTCACCAGTTTTGTTTTGCTTCTAATGGTGATAAATAGACAGGAAACTTAATAGTTTTTGACTTCTGGGTAAGGCAACAACCTGACATTCCTGGTAAGTGCAGTAATAAGTGAAGCAGAAATCAAGAAAATAATAACTTAAAAAACCTGAGTCAAACTATTTCACTGTACTGTGCAAAATCCTCTTATGAGCCATTTGCATGTTTTTATCTGTGGACTATGTACTTATCTGAAAAGGACTAATAAGCAGTAAATAACCCTCATCCTGTTGTGCAAACATTAGCTCTTTAACAGAGAAGCTGCCTATCTGAAATGACTCATAATTGGTCTGTTTTTGTATTTGTGCTAAAGCAAGAAGCTTTTGAGAGTACATTAAATCCTAAAATTATGCAGTACAAATCAATTCTAATTGAAGCAAACTTTAAAAGACCCCTTCTTGATATTTGCAATTAAGTAAAAAAAACAAAAAAACCTGACTTACATACTAAAACTTTTCAACATTTTTGGAAATATTTGATTGCTTTCTTGCTAGTAGCTATGATAATGTACATTATTTAAATCTATTTAAATCCATTCGATAGGTCCTGTGTTTGCCTAGCTCAGTATCATCGAAGCTCCACATAAGGGAGGAAAAGATCAACTTTGCAACATTTCCAAAATTGGCATGTTTGGCTACATGTTGTAGCATCCTAGCCAGGTTAGCTAGAAATGTGTTTATAAACTAGGTTTGAATTGGAATAAGGAATAACCTACTTTTAAACAAGGCCTATGTAATTGAAAACATACAAATCGATTCTTACTAGAAGCAAAATTGACCTTAAGATTAATTGTGGCCAACGTTAGCAACCTTTTCAATAATCCCTCAACAGATTTGAGCTTTCAATCTTTTCGCAAATGTTCTAAGTTGTTTGAGCTAATTATGAAGTAGTTTACAACAGTTAAAACACCTTTTCATCCAGTAAAGAGGTCCAGGGTGAGTTACTAGCTTTAGCACTAAATCTTTCAGTCGGGGGAACTTCTGGCCTGAACCTCAAAATAGAAAACTGTCTCTCCTTAGCTTGCAGGCTAGCCATAAAAGTCTATGAACTAGGTTTGAGTCAGAGCTCCAGCAGTGTCCAAGTGATTTTTGAGTTGGTGCCCATGCAGAGTCACTGTGAACTTTTTGTTTTTCTATACAACACCTCCAGATAGTTTTGGGGTTGTTGACATGACCGCAGGTACAGCTGGCATCAGCACTGCAAGCTACCTGACGTGATAGAAAATTCCCCCTCATTCATTGTGTATTGCAAGCTGTTACTGCATAAAACGGGCTGAGATGGATAGTGACTCTTTTCTCCCACAGTTGTTCATGTTCATGCATTTAGTAAATAAACCTTGTGGTGCTCTGGTTTGAGTGAAAAACTCCTCAGTTAAAGACAACAAGTGAGCAGAGGTTGGTCATGTGACTCTAGGCTTATTTGTCGCAGGTTGTCGGTCCATACTTCACAACTTAATGTAAAATTGAGAGCTCAACCGTTTTAGTAGCAAGCAGGATAAAATACCACATGGTAAAAACATATGTTACGAGAAAGAGCAACAGCTGCACAGAAACTGTACGTTGTGGACTTTGCTTAATGTACACAGGATGACAGTTTACGCCTTTTTTTCCTTTGGGAGACCCCAAAAAAACAAATGCGTCATATATACCAATGCAACTTATAGTTGAAAATACAGATTTTATGGTAGGCTAATACTTGACATAACAGCACTTAAGTTATCCAAGTGTTGAATAATTCCTTTGCAAAGAAAGATCAGTTAATCTGCTCTTCATTTCACTGTTGAATGGCTTCTTGATATCTGCTTTTATCTGGTCACTAAATTAGTATTAGCTCCACTGTGTGACGGGGAGCTTACACAGTAAAGTGCAAGTACTTGTGATACTGAGAGCACAGAAAGATTTAGGCTATCTGCAGCAACTAATTCAGAAGTCCAATTGAACACCAGTCCCACTCTGACGGAAATCCACCCCTGAGGTTATAGTCATGACGCAGTTCAGTTTTGAAACGTGTTCAGTGAGCTCAGCCTTAATTTGACTTTGGAACGACTTTCCGGCAGCAATCTTGTGGGGCTCATTAAATGCAGACATGGAGAACAGATGCCCAGTGGTGAAGGGTTTTCGATTCTCTTCTCCCACCTCTGCCTACAAACAAGATGTGCTGCTGCAGTGAAGCAAACAAATAAGCAGGTCTGTCTTTGTAATAAGCGTCTTACTGATGCTGGAGCTGTCGAAAGGCTGCCTTGTGAGGAGGTGAAACAGTGTGTAATGATTCAGAGTGGTGGGTAAGCTGAAAAACCCTTTATTATTGCTGATATAATCTCTCTGTTTGTACTCACTACATAATGAAAATGTTTAGACTTTTTATCTCACCACAAAGAGAACTCTCTGTGTCAGTGTGTTTTTTTATTTCATAACCATTGCCCTTTTTTTTCACAACAAAAATCTAGGCAGTGGTTCAAATTTTTTTTTTCTTATTTCACAATGATGCCTAGTTTTGCACTCACCGAACCCATCTTGCACCACAGGAATGATGTGAATCATTGCAGCACAGAAATGATGTGAATTGCATCATAGGGTGATGATAACCTGACACTTGTAATATAAGTCAGGAATGTGAACTGAGAGTCTGAATTAAGCATGATAACCAGAGGAGGAAAATGCTCATTAGCTATGCAAACCAAGGTTGAAGCCTAATTTAAATCCCTGGGAGATCAGATCATTGAACATGTGATGCAATTACAGTAAATCTGAATTAATCTCTCAATCATGATAATTCGACTAAATGCAAAAATAATTAAGGAATTGGAGCAGAGAATTGCGGAAGTGTTGCGAACGTCTGCAGTGCGATTCTGCCAGTCTTCCCTGCATGCATCCTGACGCGTGGACTTAAGCAACCTCACCATCCAAATCAAATTTGACTGCAGAAGATTTTGAGTGTGTGCCAGGTCTCGCCTGCACACGTGGTGGCAGAGCCTCAGCAGTCTCTCAATGGGGACAGTCAATCAATACAAACTGATTACATGATTGGATCCCCTGGGCACCGAAACTTCATCAATCAATCACGCCTCCACCTTCCAGGCAGCTGTGTCTCTCTGACTGTCAGCTCTGCCAGTGAGGAGGGAGAGAAAATGTGCAAACTTTTAACTTCTATTTTAATTTTTTATAAGTATATTCCCGTCCCCTGTTTTCTGGAGCTGCTGTAATGCACAAATTTCCCCCACGGGGGATCAATAAAGTTTATCTTTATCTTTTATCTTTATCTTTTTGGGTGTATCGCTGTGTTGGTTTACTGGAAAGGAGGGGCGTTGTGTTCCACATGCAAACACACCAAAGTAACAAGCTCAAAGCACCATATGAAGTGCTCTAAGGGTGGGAATCTCAAATGAGTCATAAATGGTACCCATGTTGTTAGTCATTAAGATGCAGGTTATCTGACAGTCGTTCTCATTTTAGCCCATTGTGATAAAAATGCAACTCAAAAGACAAATGATAGTGAATATCCTGAGAAAAATCTGGCAATATTATAAAGTGAAAAAATATATTTGCTTATGCTTAAGAAACAGCGTTTATAAGCATTCTGGCACTTAGATAACATAATGTTAGCTGACGTTACCCATTGGTTTATCAACTGTGTATATGAAGCCTTGAGTTAAGCTTATTGGTCATCAACATAGGTATCCACCTGTCACCCAACCTGAACATAATCTTAATTATGTATAACTTTAGGTTTGATATCATGAAAAGTAAGTGTCATGTAAAGACAGAGTAGCTACAGAAGACCAGAAAAACACTTTTGTATGAGGCTCAAGGAGCCTATTGAGTAGAAATAAAGACACAGGCAAAGGGATGACAATGCATATGTATTTTCTGATTTGGAAATATTCCAGACATTCGTTCAGATTATTAAACAGAAAAATCGGCTCTACGTTGATGATGAGTACAAAATAAAATGCAGCATATTTTTTTACATAATAAAAATGAATAATGCCAACATAAAGGCTCAAATATAAAAAAAAATAAAAGACTTCACTAAAGACATTTTCACCAGCTATGAGGCTGGTTTTGCTCTGTTTGTATGAATCCCCGAGCCTCATACAAACAGGGAGAGTTTTTTGAGTGACGATCCGCCGCCAGCACCGAGGGGCCACGCGGCCTCGGGTGCGGGGATCTCAACCGGTAAACTGCTGCAAAGTTTGGTATTTCAATATGAGGCCTAATGGGGATTCTCAAGCTTTTAGAGCCAGCCTCAAGTGGACACTCTAGGAACTGTCTTTTTTTTGGCATCATTTTTCAGCACTGGAGGTTGCTGCTCAGTAAATACTGTCCGTAATGGTCTGAGATTATTTGTTACACCAGATCATAAGAGGACTCTGTTTGTCTCTCACATTTCATTACCTCAGCACTGTGCACAATCCTATCCTCTAAATAGTTGTTTCATAGACAGATTTATCTCCCAGCTAAGCTCTTTTTCTTCGCTCATTGTCTGCTTTCTTTCTCTTGCCCTGTCTTCTCCTGCTCCTACACTACCTCCTCCTCCCCCTCCTCCTCCTCCTCATCTTATCCTCATCCTAATTCTCC